CAGATTTTTTTCCCTATTAGCATAAATACTATAAAGTATGTTTTACTGTAGGATACAATCTCAGTAATAGTGCAATATAGTAGGAACATAAAAATTCAGCCCTAAAAGTTTGGCACATTCCCAAAAGTACTCTTGGCAACATACATGAAAACTTTTCTTTGGAGACACGGTCTCTGTAGTTCAGGCTGGCCTCAAACTCACAGCGATCCTCCTGCCTCAGCCTCCTGAGTGCTGGGATTACAGATGTGTACCACCATGACCAGCCAAAACTTTCAATACACTATTTCATTCATTCTTTGTGAAGCATCTCTGTTATGAGTCACCCAAATAAAAGAAGTTGGACACACTTTTAAAATGTTCAATTAAGCTAGGTATGGTGGCACATACCTGTTATCCCAGCATTTGGGAGGCTGACGTAGGAAAATTGCCACGAGGCCACCCTTGGCTACATAGTTCAAGGCCAGCCTGGACTACATAGCAAGACCCCGTCTCAAAAAACAAAAACAAAAACAAACAAAAACGTTCAATTTTGTCACCAGGGACTTTACACTTTCTCTTTCAAGTTCATCAGTTTATCTCAAAAAAACTCCAGACAGGCCCACATCTACCTGTTGTTTTCTACTTTTCATTTTATGAAAATGTCCCTGCTTTCACTTGCAAAAGTGATTAATACTAATCATACTGACTACAGCAACTTGTAACACCATTAGGGCAATCTAGTCTTTGGTAATTTATATGTACTACACAGACAGCTACCGAAGATTCAAACTGTACTGGTGCAACCCTATTCTATATAATTAATTACTTTCCTCACTTCTTACCCTTACCCCTGCCATTAGAAAGTAAACTCTAGTAGCTGCTCACAGTGGTACACATGCACCAAGTATCAGCTTTTGGAAAGGCTGAGGCAGGAGGATCACTTGAGCCCAGGGAAAAATTTGAGGCCAGTCTGGGAATCAGAGCAAGAACACAGTGAGACCCTGTCTCAAAAAATTTTTTAAAATAATAGATGGTTCTTTTTAGAAGCAAAGTTTGTCATGTTTTTGTCTGTTTTTTCTGAGATAGGGTCTGACTATGTAGTTGAGGCTGGTCTGAAACTCCCTATGTAGTTCAGGCTGGCTTCAAACTTGTGATCCTACTGGCTAAGCCTCCTGAAAACTAGGAGAAGCAAAGTATTTTTTCCTCTTTAACTTTTCTATCTTCCTTAGGCTATATGCACAATATAGACTTGAAATGTACTATGTAGCCTTGAAATGTACAATATAGCCTTGAAATGTACAATATAGCCAAATGTACAATATAGCCTTGAAATGTACTATGTACTACAATAAACTTGAAATGTACTATGTCAGCGTCTTCAAATCCTTAGTGTCCAAGCACATCAAACAGAGAGAGAACACAAGAGGAAACAGGGAAGTAATCCACACCAAATCCACCCTCCTCCACAGCTGGGAACAAAGATGATGTCTACTTGGTTTCTGAATGATAAAAATATATACAGATTCCTCTCCTTCAGGAAATAAGATCTGAATTCAAAGCCAGGTCTGGTGGTGCATGCATGTAATCCCAGCACTCTGGGAGGCTAGAGGAGTAAGATCACAAGTTTAAGCCCAGTCTGGGAGATCTGCAAACTCAGCTAGACTCTGCCTCAAAATAACAAATGTTTTGTGGTTCTGTTTTTTGAGACAGAGTCTCGCTACGTAGTTCAGGGTGGCCTTAACTCTCTGTGCAGCCCCAGGTTGGCCTCAAACTCATGGTGATCCTCCTGCCTCAGTCTCCCAAGTGCTGAGATAACAGGCAGGTGCTATCACACCTAGGAAAATAACACATTTTTAAAAATCTGAGGATGAAGTTCAGTGTGAAGGCCCTGGGTTCAATCCCTCAGTACCAAAAAAGTAAAAATAAAACAAAAAACCTCTGAATTCAACAATAAGGTACCATTAAATAGACTTTGAAAGTTAGTATACACTCCTAAGAGATGTCTCACAGAGTACAACTGGAGTGAAACCTCCTTAAGTGCAGGAACCAAGTGGTCTGCTTCATCTATGCCAGTGGCATGCCAAACACTGTACCAGCACTTGACAGATTCAACAACTTTCAGTAAAGCTGCAGATGATACTACACAGTGCAGTATCACTATCTAGCAGAGGCAGCATGCAAGTCACAGTATGCCAATCTTAAACATACACGATGCTGGACAAGTCTGCAGGAACCTGGAGGACCAGGGAAGCCTCCCAAGCAAAGTCATACCTGAACTAAATTTTCAGGGTGACAATATGATGAAGTGAGGGAACATTCCAGCAGAGGGAGACAGACAGAGTGAAAAATTTCCAGGGAGGAAGAGATGCTCCGCACAGATCAGTGAGGGAAGAATGTGAGGCCAAACCACAGCCCAGCAATGAAGTATCCTGGGTCCATACTAAGAACTTAGTACAAATGCAGTGGAAGAGTTGAATGTTTTTAAATGGGAGAGTGCCTCTGAATAGTTTAACAGTTTGAAAAGACATGCTATGAGCAAACCCTTGGATTTAAGAAAAAAATAAAGAAGTACAATGTAGATGTGGGGAAAAGAACAGGAAAAGTACTGTTAAAAAGATTACCATCCTCAGGGCCAGGGATGAAGCTCGGTGGCACAGTGCCTGCCTGGCAAACTTGAGGCCCTGAGTTCAATTTTCAATACCAAAAAAAAAAAAAAAAGTTACCACCCTCTTCTCTCACTGCTTTCTTTTTAACAGAATTACCAAATTGTCCTTTAAAAATGGAGAACTCAGAGGAGGCTGAGAGCAGCTGGTCCTCACAATGTAAAAATTTGCATTATGAAGAATTAGAGATTAAATTATTAGTTTTAATTCAAGAAATTTTAAGATAACAGATACATTTTGATCTGTTGCAGCTTTTTAAGAGTACATTCTACAACTCAATCTTATTTGGGATTAAGAACAAACCATCATGAATTTTAAAGGCTTCACAGACACGGAGATCATCTGTTACGTTCACTTTGGAACAGATTAAAGACATTCCTCCCCCTCAGCATCCTCTTCCAAAATTACTCAAGCCAGCCTATCTTCCTTCCCCCATTTCTTCCTTTTCAGTGCTGGGGATGGCCTCAAACTCCTGAGCTCAAAGAATCCTCCTACCTCACTGTCTCAAGCAGCTGGGATGATTACTACACAACACCATCATACCCAGATGGATGCTTAATTTTAACGCTAAAAACTGGGACTTTTTTTAGAAATGACAATGCATTGAGTAAATTTATGAGAAACTCCTATATTTTCCTTGTTCTCCTGTACAAGGCCCATTAAACATTTGAAGGGCCTGACTCCACAGTCTCTGAGATTCATTCTCACCTACTTTATAACATCACCTATCCCTCTTCTCTCACCTTTGAGAGACTACAGTGCCATGGAACTGGTGAGACCTGCAGAAGACTGGCAGAAGATTCTGTAGACAAGGACCCTTTAAATGTTTATTAGCATTAACATTTCTATGCCCCCAAACATTACAGATGGGAAAATGAAAATCCAGAAAGAAAAGCTGATTTGCCCAAATGAAGCCAGCAAGAGAATCTCTTCAGCCTCCTGACACTGTCACCATTCCTCCACTGAGCCAAGCCATTCTTCAACTGAGCTGAAGGGTTTGGGTAACACTGTGCAAGTTGCTCATGTGATTTAAACACATAGATGGCTATATGGCAACTCTTATGCATTAAGAAAACACAACCCTGATAGTACAGGTAATTATGAACCTACACAGTACTATCACCTGAGTCACCTGATCCAATGTACTATGTCCAGCCAGTTATAAGAAGAACCTTTGCTTCAGTGCAATCACGTCAAGAAAACACAGGCCGATACACAACCTGAAAAGTTCAAGTTTATAATAAAATTCCACTACAAACTCCACCTTAACCACAACTACTACAATTACTCTCTACTCACTATGATATTACACTTGATACTCCAAAGCACACAGTGATAAAGCTTCTCTATGGCACAATAATCACTGTCTTACTTAAAAAGAGTACGGAAACCCCTACTCCTGGGTTATACACAGGCAAGCATTACAAAGCATTCACCAGCTATCGAAACATGCTGAGACCACTTTGTGTATACTAACCAAATCAATTGGGAAGTGAGACATTTTTATTGAAAAAGCTATTGGATCAGAAAATTCATAGAAAAAAAAAATTTTTTTTTCACAGAACATTTTTATCCAGACCAAAATTGTACTTCTTTCACCAAATCCCTTTCTGCGTTGGTCTGGCTACTTTACAACACACGTGTATATTTTCTGTAACTTATTTTAATGACTTAAAAAATAGAGTCAGCTCTCAGAATCCTTGGGGAATGGGTTCCAGGATCCCTGCAGACACCAAGAAATGTGGATGCTGAAATCCCTTACATAAAATGGCAAAGTTTTGCACATAACCTGCACAAACCTTCCAGTATACTTTGAATTCTCTATACAGGATTACAGTACCTAATATAATGAAAATGCTACATAAATAGTTGGGTTTTTAAAAAAATAGTTCTTATACTGTATTGTTTAGATACTAATGACAAGGAAAAAAGTTCGTACAGACTCAATACAGATCCATTTTTTTCCAAGTTTTTCCATCCCTGATTAGCTGAAAGAGAAATGACTTAACATTGGCAAAACTGCAATCCTCTCACCCCAAACTTTCAGAAAACTCTGCTGTTGTCGGCGAAGCCCACACCTCTGAATTCATCTCAAGATGTACCCTGAGTGACAGCAAACTGTTGGGCTCCACAGTATTTTTTAAGGTTCTTCTATTTGATGTAAGCTTAGGCAACCATTAGCAATGGTTTGAGACGCTCTTCACAACAAAACAATTTTTCCCTGTCATCAACTGGGCGAATTTATTTTTAAAAATTTCCTGGTTCTTCCTATACTTTAGAACAAGGGCATCAACAAATCACAGCGACCTACATTTGAACGACCAAAGAATTCTTGTTTTTACGAACAGGTAAACCTACCTGGAAACTGATTTCTTTCCCAGTCATCTCCAGATCAGGTTGCCCGAATGAACTATGATATCTTAAACTTAACCACTTAAAAGAGACAATCACCAAGTTGCTGGGAACGCAAAGTTTCCTCTGCAATACACTGGATTCTTCATAGCCAATCTGACATAATTAACCAGGTATCAACAATAAAGAAAATTTCGCCTGCTTCGAAAGACCCTCTCAAGCAAGCGGGGCGCGGCTCCTCAGATACTGCGACCGCCGCACCCCCGGGGTCCCCGGCTCGCCGTTCCTTTGGGGACTCCGCAGGAACGCGGTCCCAAACCCAGGCAAGGGACCAGGGCTACCGGGCGATGGCTTCAGTCTCTACAGGGGCCCGAGGAAAGCAAAGTGCGACAATAAAACGCAGCTCCTTTCTCGGCGCGGAGGCGAGCGACCCAGCACCATCTGGAGCCCAACCCCGACCGAGACACCCCACGGTTCCGTGGTCCACTGGGCAAACTGCGGGTCGGCCCGAGAGCCCAGGAAAAGGACAGCGCACGCGCGGACGGGCCGGGGGCCCCAGGAGGGAAACGGCGCAGGCGCGGGGCCCACCGGGGTCTGCGGGGCTGCCTGGGCCTGGCCGCGCGGGCGGCGCTGAGGAGATAAACTGATCCGCCGGCGACGCTGAGGAGGCCCGACCTAGTTCTTACCGCGCAGCACCGCCTCGCTCGCTCGCTTCGCGCTGGGATCCGACAGCGAGGTCGCCCGGTGGCGCGGCCCGGATCCGTTGACTCCGGCCTCAGGGCAGCAACCAACCCCGCGGCGCCTCTCGCCCGGCCCGCCCAGCCTCCCTCACGGTCCCCGCCTCCAGCAGGCCGCCCCTTCCCCGCCCCTCCAGGCTGCCGTTGCCTGCGCAGGCGCCCTACCTGTCCCGCCCACATCCCAGCACTGCGCAGGCGCCAGTACCCTGCCCACTCGCTCCGGACCCACCCGGCCCTAGGTTGTAAAGTCTCCCTGTTCCCCTGCGGGCGCTCTGCCTGGACACGTAATGCGCATGCGTCAGGTCTGGCACAGGCGCTTTAAGATTTGTACTATGGGAGGGTCTTGTGAGAGCTGTTGACTGTGCGGGTGGAGTGCGCTAATCCCAAAAGCGTTCTTTCCTCAGCAAATACTAGGTCCGACCTTAATACAGTACATATTTACAGTGTGCCACGGCTCATGCTATACATGAGCCAGCTAGTGAGAAAAATGCACAAGCCCTGCTCTCCTGGCGCTCCCAGTACACCAGGGAACACACAAAAAAGTGAACAACCAAAATAAACAAAAAAGACTCTTAAAAAAGCGCTGAAAAAAGTCGGGCGTGGTGGTGCACGCCTGTAATCCCAACACTGGGGAGGCTGAGGCAGAAGGATCTGCCGAAATTCCAAACCAGCCTGGGTTACAGAGCGAGACCTTCTCTCCAAAAAGCAAAAAGGCTAAATGTTCTTTGAAATTAAGGAATTTATATTACGTTGCAAATAGACCCCTTACAAATATATGTTTTTTCCTGTTATAGTTTGAATCACATTAATAGATTTTTCTTTACATTAGGAGAAACATAAGTTGGCCTTGATACATTGCTAAATTATTTGCTAATATTTTACTTAGCATTTTTGCATGTATGTATATGATTGGACTATATTTTTGCTTCCTTGTATTATTTATGTATGGTTTGGTATTAAGCTTATACTAAATTCTGCTTTATTTGGAAGATAATTAGAACAGAATACTTGTTGAGCTACAAAATCATCCAGGTGGTATTTTTCTTTGGTTTTGTTTTCTGTTAATTTTTTTTGAAGGAATGGAATGTAGCATGTAGCATTCAATTTCTTTAATAGTTGTAAATCTAGACTATTTCTTCCTGTGCTCTTTTTTTGCTTTTATTCTTGCAGAAAAGTATATTTTTTTTTTTTTTTTTTTGTCTTTTTTGAGACAGGATCTCATTATGCAGTTCAGGCTGGCCTTCAACTCACTGATGTAGCCCAGGCTGGCCTTGAACTCCCAATAATCCTCCTGCCTCAGCCTCCTGAGTGCTGGGATTACAGGTGTGTGCCACCATGCCCGTCTTACCCTTTGATTTTTATAATGACACTTGTGATGGCATAACCTGGATAATCATCTATCAGAAGATTTTTTTTTGTATCAGGAATTGAACTCAGGACCTTGCGCCGGACTTTGCTCTTGCCAGGCAGGTGCTGTGCCACTGAGCTATATCCCCGGTCCCCCGGTCTCTATCATAAGATTCTTTTTTTTTTTTTTTTTTTACAATAAGATTCTTAATTTAGGGCCAGGGATATAGTTCAGCGGCACAGCACCTGTCTGGTAAGCTTGAGGTCATGAGTTCCATTCCCAATACAAAAAAAAAAAAAGATTCTTAATTTAATCACATCTGCAAAGGCCTTTTTTCCAACTAAGGTAACATTTACAGATTCTAGAGATTAAAATCTAAAATCTTTGAGGGCCATGACGCAGCCTACTATAGGTATGTGTTGTTCTTGTTTGTTTGTTTGTTTGTTTATGTTACTAGGGATTGAACCTAGGACCTTTACACTGAGCTGCATCCTCAGCCCTTTTTTTATTTTGAGACAGAGTCTTGTTAAATCACGAAATTGTCCAGGTTGGCCTTGAACCTTGATCCTCCTGCCTCAGCCTCCCAGGGTGCTGGGATTGCAGGCACTGCCACCACACTTGGTATTCTTTTTTTCTGCCTTTTTTCACTCAACATTAGGTCTGAGAGATTCATTCATCTTGTTGCATGTATTTGACCCCAAGCCCGAATGTCCCGGCACTCAACTCAGAACTGATCTTCTGCTAACAGTTGGGAACAGCTGTTTTCTGATTAAAACCATTTTGGTTGCTAGCAGGCATTCCCCCCACATAGCCCGTGTGTGTGTGTGTGTGTGTGTGTGTGTGTGTGTGTGTGTGTGTGTGTGTGTGTGTGTAGCGTGGTGGTTTCTGGGGGATATCCCAGTTGTGAGCTATTGGTATAAAGAGAATTAGAAAAGCAAAAAGGATCACTGATGTGTCCAGTGAAAAGCTGTGCTAGAACACACCCTTCTTTGTTGTTGTTTGCTGTTGTTGTTGTTGTTGTTATTGTTTTTGAGACAGTGTCTCCATATGCAGTTCAGGCTGGCCTTGAGCTCACTTTGTAGTCCAGGCTGGTCTCGAACTTTCAGCAATCCTCCTGCTTTAGCCTCCTGAGCGCTGGGATTACAGGCAGAACACACCCTTCTAAATGATCTGATTCTGTGCAGACCTGCCCCCATGACACACATACCTGGTGTGACAGTGGGTATTGAACCCAGGGCCTTCACACTGAGCTACATACACAGCCCTTCTTCTTTTATTATTTTTAAAAATATTTTTAGAAAGGATCTTACTAAATCATTAAATTGCCCACTGTGGGCTTGATTTTTCATTCTTCCTGCCTCAGCCTCCAAGAATGCTGGGATTACAGGCTTTTACCATGTACTGATTTCTTTGAGCTATTTTACAGAAAGTCCATAGTGATGAAAATGATTCTTGCCTAAAGACACTCCTTCCCAGCAATCAAAAAGCCAGTTTTACCTCCATTTGCAAGTTATTACAGTATTTCCAATCAAATATTTCCAAATATTTGATCTTTTAATTCTCCTTTGAATTGATAGTAACATCTTTCCAGTTCCCTCAGTTAATTGAGGAGTTAAATGAACCTTTTGACACATACTTATTTTACATTTGGATGAGAATTAGGATTTTACTTTCTGAAAATTACCTTCAAGGCTAGGTTTGTAGCTCAGAGCATGTTCCTGTCATGCCTGTGGCTCTGGGTTCAGTGGCCAGCACATACACACACACACACACACACACACACACACACACAATTGCCCTTCAGCATTAAAAATTAAGCATAGAGCCAAGTGTGGTGGTGCATGCCTGTAATCCCAGCACTTGGGAGGCTGAGACAGGAAGATCGTTGGGCGTTCAAGGCCAGCCTGGGCTAAAAAGTGAGCTCACGGCCAGCCTGAACTGCATAGCAAGACCCTGACTCAAAAAAAAAAAAAAAAAAAAAAATTAAGCATAGAGCTGGACATGATGGTCCCAATTCTAGGGGTGCTGAGGCAGCCTGTACCTGGGCTGCAGCACTGGCATCTGGTGGTCCCATCAGCCTCACTCAGACCTTGCCCCCCACCCCCATTCTCATTCATCTTCCTCAGCCCAGGGCCCAGTCCTGGGGAAGCCTGTGGCAAACTACCTAAGCAGGAGACCATCTATTTGCATCTGAGCGCCTTCCAGGGCCCAGCATCCCAGCATCTGTGTATGAGACGCGGCCATGAGCTCCATTCATGGGCTGAGAGTACCCAGCCTCAGGGTCTCATGTTTCGTTTCCCCTTCTGTGAGGCCCTTCCCTCCCATCTCATCCTGAGATGGGTCCAGCTCCACAGCCCAGGTTCCCCCTTTAAACCCAGGGCCTCTGGTTTCTCAATTACCTGCTCATCTCACTTTGAGCATCATACCCTGAGGTCCACCCAGGTCACTGACTGCCCCTCTTGCGCCCAGCTGTCTCCATCTGCAAGCAGCTGGAGGAGCCAGAACCAGTGGCAGCTGCAGGCCAAGTTCAAATCAGAAAACAACTGTTCCCAGCCATTAGCAAAAGATCAGTTCTGAGTTGGGTACCAGGACATCGGGCTTGGGATTTTTGATATGCTTCCCTTGGAGCCTACAGAGCCTAGGTCCTGGGAAATTGCAACTGTCAGTCAAGCAAGGACCTGTCTGAAAATAGAGATAAGCTGTTTACCTTCTGCAGCCAAAGTCGCCCACCCCATGTACCCAGTGTCCATGGCCTTAAACCAAGTAGGCTCCTTGGGGTGCTCAGATGCTGTAGGCTACCCCAAGAAAGTGCAGAAAACAACTCAGGTCAGCACATCCATCCTCCTGCATGGACAAAAGCAATCAGAGATGGTCAGATCCTCTTGTTTCAAAACCAAGGAAACTAGGGGCTGGGGATTTAGCTCAGCGGCACAGCAGCTGCCCGGCAAGCGAGAGGTCATGAGTTCGATTTCTGGTACCAGAAAAAAACAAACAAACAAACAAGGAAACAGGCCAGAGAGAGGAAGGGAACAGTGATCCAGTGTTTTCCATGTGCCAGCCCTGTGATTTCCAGGAGTATTGTGTTCAAATCCCTACTAGGACAGCCACTCATTGTGTGACCTTGACTTCTCTATGACTATGGTTCTTGTGAACAGTGACAGTACTCCCAGACCTCTCAGGGGTGTCGGGGACCCAATAATAAGTCTTCACCCTATTGAGTACCTCCTGCAAACCACATTTCTCTTTAATGCACTTTTACACAGGAAGTATATGACTGATACTCTGTAACGATGCAGATAATGACTATCTACCTGGAGACCATACACATCCCCAAGGCAGGGACTAGTACAAGGTAAGGGCTCAGGAACCATTATTTATCCTTTCTTAGCCTCTGATCCCTATCTATAGAGAGTAATAACCTT